GTAATTTCGCAAGTAATTTGACAGCGTGGGGCAATATCGACGATGAATGACAGTGATAATTTATCGTTTTCAGTTCAATTGCATTCTTATTGTCCGTTAGAGGAGCCAACATTAATACCCATTTATCGGAGCTACTTAATACATCTACTGAGTGTACTCTTCTAAGCAGAATTCGTGATACATTACATGACATATACTTTTTATGTCATAATCTTCTATTTAAGTCGTAATACAGTGTATATTTCCAGCAAATATAATAAAATGACTGGTGTCAACAACTACCATGACTACGGCACGCACCACTCCACATGTCAAACGTAACTGTCGGCTTAAATTTACTACTTAGATATGTTTTGAGTATAATAGGACCGAGATCATCCGAATCTCACGGTTTAACAAGCTCGATATAAACATACTCCTCTATGAACCCGTCCAGGATTCTATCAACTAGTCGCGTATTTAACCTCGGTAAATGCATGAATCTGATTTTTTGAGCTTTTCCACTGTTCCTACTGACAGAACTGTCTTCGGTGTGTGGTCTAGTACGGAAAAAACGCAGTCGTCGAACTATTCATGCAGACTACCACTTGAACACTGATGCAACAGTGTGTATTTGACGTAAGCACCATACTAAAACATGTATGCGTCCGTTCCTTTGACGTGCAGCACGGAACATTGGACATTGAAATCATTGTTTGGACTCTTAAAGTCTTATCATTTCGATACTGACCAAATATTTTCGACCCTATACCTGTGACCCACAATTTCTAAATTACTACCGATCTTAGCAACTTTCTTTACGCTGATAGGCATCAATTCAAAATCTAAGACTGTTTTGCAAAACCTGCCATTGTCTGTATTTAACCGGCGGAGCGTGACACAAAGAATTATGTGACCCTTCTGTGAACACCCGTTTTCACTAACCACAATTATAATTCTATAATTCTTTAATCGCAGACCACGGGTTCATACTAATTTTACCGAAAGAAAAAACCATTTTCACATTAAATTATCGTGCTGTCACGCTTCTTGTGCAGTGTGTGAAGAGCAAACATCGATTCTATGCAAAAGATTGAACGAACTTTTTGATATAAACACTTAAATGAATAATAAACAAAAAGCACTGGAAATAGTAGTTAAAGCTACTTTTATTTGTGATCTTCGCAATGTAATCCGCGTACACTGGTCGACTGTAACGTTGAGTACCGGGCGGCGTGCGCCAGTTGACACCTGGGCTAGATCGCGTTGACACCTATTTGCTACCATTAT